TACAAGTTGCACTACAATCATGAAACCTCTAACACGGAGACAAAGGTGTATAGCATTGTCATGTTATTTCAATCATATCACCTCTGGCAAATACATGCTAACATTCTCTTACATGCTGCAAACAGCTGGGAAATGGCTTGTACAAGGAAACTTACACAGCGATTTACAAGAAAACAAAAAAATCCCTCCCAGCTAAAAGATCGGCCTATGATCCATGAAGGAACTGTTTAGCAAAAAGTTAGTAACAGACGTAAATGTTTTTGTCGGTCCACCCTGACTATCTTATCAGCTGGTGAATAGTAATTGAACAATTTAAGAAGAAGAACTCGTGTTTTTTCTGTATTACACCCCTCATTATTTGGGTCTTGGCCTTGCAGTTTGTGTTAAGTGTTTCATTTAAACCTGGCAACATTTGTGACAATTTTTGACTTTTTAAGTCATTATATTGTTGATGACTTAAAATCATCATAATCATAATTATGACAATAGAATAGACTAGATGCACAAATGTTTGCCACAAGCTCCTTAGAAATGACAATTTATTTGTAGATTGAACCATTCTCACTAAAATAGAATATTTTCCAAGATGGGATTGAGTAAATCATGGCAAATTTAATAACCAAATTTCAGTCTATACACTCGATGGTCACAGTTGATTGCTTGCCATTACAATTTTTCGTCAGATATAGCATCATGGCCTATACATACAATGATCACCTGCATCTGCTGTTGCCATCATTATCACACATGTTTGCATGTATCAAATGATTCATTTATTCAATGAGAAACTTTGAAAGCAGCTTGAATGCATAGAATCTGATCTCTAAGAGGACATTTCCAGAGATTTAGATCAATCTTACTAGATCGACCTAACTCCCTGGGGGTTCACGCTAAATTGCAGTCAGTCGACCGTGCACAAAAGTTAATTACCCCCTTATAGCTTGTAGTAGGCGGAACGGACATTTAAGCCGGATTATCTGACAGTAATATAGTGAGACTCCCCATGGGGATAGATTGATCTAAAATCTATGGGAATGCGCCCTAAATCAAGGTTTATGTCATGGTTTGATGATTTTTCGGAAGTTTATATTTCTTTTTACTGATCAGGGTCTTTATGTTGACCATGTTTTCCAAAAATGAAAAACCCATTGAACTGGAAGCCAGAGCACAAATTATAATACAGTGCATATTTGAATCTTTTGTCTATGTTTGATGACTTTTACTGATATTTTATGGACAAACACACACATATAGCCATTACCCGCTTCTGTCATCACTGCCATTGCCGCTGTCATTGTCACTTGACACTTTCCCATAATTTTTACTCATTAACACAATAAACGTAAAACATGTTATTTATTATTCTCAGAGAATGATATATATTGATTCATATGGTGATTGTCATGTCACTGCTTCTATAAGTTCTGCCATTTATATGTCTGTATACTTGACATCCTTATTTAATCCTTGAGTTTTGTCATTTGCTTTATTATTTGAAATGATAGGCCCATGGGGGCTTAACCTATCTGAAATAGGTTTTAATTATTGATTGAAATGTTTTGTATTTGGTATATTTTAATTCTCATTGGAAGTACAGATCCTTTATCTGTCACACTTGGATGTTAGCTTGTAAGGGTTGTGCATTGAAGTTAAAACTGCATTAATTTTTTTTTTTTTTTGGGGGGGGGGGGCCTCTTGTTGTGGAAATTACATGCTATATAAAGACTAAGAAGATAGTTTTATGAGCATAGTAAGTCAGGTTTGAAAAAGTCTTAATTTTGGCAGTCATACAAAAATAAAAACTGGGCATTGCAATAACACTACTCTCAGCTTTATTGATTGTGGTCAAACAAGATATGGTGTTTAATCCACATTTTATAAAGTTGAATTTTCACAGTAAGTGACACCAATAATTGCTGTCAGTTTGTCATTAATATGTAATGTGAAATTGGTACCCCTTATTTTAACACATATGTACACATAACACGTAACACATACACATAACACATAAGTCTCTCATGGACATCTTGGGGTAGTCCATGAAGGAGCCTTGATGCATGTAGATATTTGCCTTGTTTTATAACTTAGTCTAGTGATATTTTTGGTATAAAATCAATGGGTATCAGTTTGGAGTTTGCTCATTGTCAAGAAGCACAATTGATAAATATAATGGACACTTTTTTAAGTAAAATTTTCCATTTGCATTAAGCGTATTCAGAATAGCTGACTAACAGATCCGTGGATCAAATATGCCGACCCAATTAAAAGCTCGTCGCTCGATTCCCGATTAGACACTGAATAGATTCCCCGCGGGGATTACGCAACAAGCATTCAAGTTTGTTGGCCATATTTGATCCATGGATCTGATGGTCTTCTCTTCTGAATGTACTCTTTGTTTTCACCAAAATTTTTTTCATAGTCTCCACTGACTTTCCCAATAATAATAATAATAATATATTTCAAGGTTAATGAAAACCTTTATGTCATACCTCATTGAGAGTCTATGCGTCATCATTACATGGTTCTGTCACACCCAGTGTTGTGTGTAAGACTCTGTTCCCATACCTAGTTCAATCTAGCAGGATCAATCCAACCCCGAGGGGTTTCTTGCTAAATTGCACTCAGCTCAAGTGGCTCTTTTGTTTAGCATGCCTACTGAAGTTGTTATGGACTAATTAACTATAATCATTTAGCAGTTTTAGTAGGTGTGCCAGACATCTAAGCCACTTAGCTGATTGCAATTTAGCAAGAAACTTGGAGATAGATCGGTCTGGCTAGATTGATCTAGGTATGGGAGTGGGGTCTAAAATGTAATCATGATGGATGATAAAGAGGTTGTCAGTGCACTGGCTAGCATGGTAACATCATGGTCATGAGGTGGTCAGAGGAGATCATTAGGGTGGTAACAGCAGGGCCCTAGTGTCCCTGTGCTTACTAGTGACAAAATATTTTTCAATGCAGCTGTTTTGAAAACATGTTATCAGCAACTTGTCCCCAAAATATGTCTACTCCATGTGTGTGATAATCATATGTAAGAGGGTTGGTATTGGCGTTTGTTTTCAACATCTTTCAATGTGTGGCAGGGTAAGGTAGTGGCCAAACAGGATGAGAAATGTGGCAGAAGGGATATTAAGTCTGTTAAATGTGTCAACTCTGCCCACAACTTGTTCTTAAGGCAGATGTCCAAGAGAGATGATGTAGGTCAAGTTCACATTATGTTCAAATAGATCAATAAAACAAATATAATATGGGATCAGGACTGGTCCGATCTACAGTAATTGAAGGTAATTTACAAACTCCTACAGAGCTCATTCCACTATCATGCCTCAAATGATAATTGCTGAACTTTCTGAACAGGCAGGTTTGGGCACTTGCAGTTCACGGTTATACCTGTAACATCTCCAGTGCTTGCTGTCAGTATTTAATATACAATTGGACCATGTAATCGCAGTTCATATCATAAAAATGGCAATTCAAATCATTAAAACCACCTGTTTCCACCAGTTTCTTTCATAAGGCCTGAAAATGACTGGTTTGTTTTTGATCCACAGCATAGCTAGCCTATCCCCTTGCAGTATATATTGCCAAGAACAAAGCTTGTGTTGCAGTCACTAGAAGTGATGATGCATAAAACCAAGTTGCTTTGGCTCTTTTTTATTGTTAAAAAGTGGTCTGTTTCTTTTAATATAATATTAAAACAAAGAACATAAACATAGAATAATTATATGGCATGACATGCAATACTTCATGTGTCATTAAGCATTACCACAAAAATGATTGATAAGCAGCAACTAATTGATAGAGCTCGCTATTCTTACAAAACATAGATATTGGGCTGCAAAGAGGCAGCAATCAATGCTTTGGCATAAAATATGCAAAAAGAGGACTTCCTCATTAAAACTTTACACATGTACTGCTGTTATACTTTCTTCTTGTGAATCAGTGTTTCTGTAGAACTCTGCTTTAGAGCCAAGTGTTATCTGCTAAGCCATAATTTCCATTTGCTTTATACCAAAGGTGTGTAGATCATAAGTCAGCTCCAGTACCCATACCAACATTTTTTTTTTACAAATAACAGTTTTAGACCTTGTTTGCGACTGGACCATGTCACATTGGACAACCTGTTTTTGAATAAAAAATTGATTTTTACTCTAAAACAAGTTTTCCAATGTTAAAACACTTAGTGATGCATTATTGATAAAGTGTAATTTAATTTATGATATGGGCTCATAAAAGATTATTTAAGCCTGCTTCTATGTATTTCATTCTCAATAATTTTTTATTCTCACTTATATGAAAAACATTATAAGTGAAAAACATGTTTGACATGATAATGCAGCACATTACTTCTCCCTACGTCTAGTTTTCTGTCTTAGATTGTTTGAACATCACTTGATCTGCCTAAAAATTAAAGTGACATTGCGCCATTTGCTGTATTCAACAATTAAACAGTTCTCCCAGTATGTAGTAAAGAACATCTGATGCTGCAAATATGCTGCACCTGGTGGGAAATTATCCCATTTGTTTGAAAATTGACACAGAAAGTTACAGTTTGAACATTGTGTACCTATGTTATCTGGCTTTTATCTTGTAGATGGAATTGATAAATATTTTACTACATGGTCTGCTGCTTGCCTCCTGACAGTATCTTCATTATTATTCATTTCAGGGCATATTATTTTTTTTCTTGTTCTCTGTGAATGTAGCCTTTTATCAATTAATTAGCACAACGTAAATGTTAAAGTTACCTGTTTATAATTTTACACCATTATTATTATCAAGAACATTCTTTGAATTATCCATATCATATAAACTTGGAATGCTTATTCTTTATTTTTAAATAGTTATAAGAAATAATATTTATTACAAACTAAGTTAAAATTGCAAGAGCTCTTTACACTAGTAATAGTAGAGGCCTTATCCAGGTTTGTGTATATTTCTGCATATCAAATGATTGGGTTCCAGGCAAATTAAAATGTTCATTATCTGTTTCATTACAGATCCATCATTGTCAAGCTCTCCCCATGCAGTAATAAGCCGACCAGAACCATCCAGGAACTATATCAGGGGAAACTACACCATATGATGCTCAGAGTACAAGAAACCAATGGCTGCTACTTCCTGTCATCCTCCTTATCCTGGTTCAGGGCACATGATGCACAAGGCAGGCTAGATTCATGCGTAAAATGCACAATTATCCGTCAGGTTGCATAATTAGATGGTAATTATTTTGAATCCAACCCCCTGGATCACAATGTAATGGCCAAGGTTTTGGCTATTTGGTTCCTTTGGACATTAACTATAAAATTTATAGTTATACACATTCTGTGGCCGTGAGGTGCAACATGAGGGCTACGATAAAGTGTAGTATGCCTCGGTGTCCTGATATGTTGTTTGGCGCTGCCTTGGGGGTGGGCCCATACACATATATCAGGGCCCCAGCAATGTATGGTGGGAGCATGCCAGCTTCCCATGTGCCTCAGCCCTGAGACCTGAGGGAGACAATTTCCCAAACTTTTTATCTCATGCAGATCTTGCTTTTCACCAGAGACAAAGATGTAAATGATATGTCTTTGTCATGTTTTTCTCCCAAAACATGCAGCTGTGTCAAGGCACTGTGGCTGTAAAAATGTAGCTTGTACCTGTACGTAACAGTGTACATTTTATGTGTTTACATGTTTTCCTCTTCATTTTTTGTTATATATTATTGATGTACCAAGTTTCATATCTTGATTAAAGACACCTTGGTTGGCTGCAAAGTATGTTTTTTAACTTGAGGACTGCTTGTAGAAATAGTGGTTAAATTTTAAACAATCAAGTTTTCATTCTTGTCCTTGAAGATACCATTATATATTTTGATGATAATGAACAACTTTTTGATATTATGTGGATGGAATTAAGATGTAAACAACTTTTTAGATGAAATTCTGATAGTTTAATGGTACCCACATTTATTCGGATTGTATCACTTAATAAGATGTTTAAAATATTACAGTATTTGTTATAAAAGCTGATAAATTATGATAGTTTAGAAAATTATTTGATTGACACTGTAAGTAAAATTTGTCATTTTTAATTTAAATTTGAAGAGATAATGTTGTCTAACTTCAACAGATATCACTGAAAATGAAGCATACAACCAGAAAAGAAGATGCTCCTTGTGAGAGATGGAGGGAACAAGAGAGATGGAGAGAGAGGGGTGAAGGAGAGTAAAGCCAAGAGGACTGCACCTGCAGGATGCCACTGTAATTTAAAGGTAACCATTTGATAATGTCATATTTTGGTCATTTTTTCCCCTAAATGTCCATTTAGAGACTGATGTTACAAGTTGTAGCGTGGTTCAGAAATCTCTCATGATAATCTGAACACCGAGTGTGTACATGGATGTCTGGGGTTAATGCGTCAGAAGATATCTATAATTGATGAAATTGTAGGTACAGGGAGCTCTTTGCTTAATCTATGACTTGCTGCCAGTGGACTGATGAAAAATTAATCTTTAATTCCTTTGAACTAAGGTACCTCAATCCTTTGCTTGTTCTCTCGTTTCCTTTTTTTCTTCGGACTGGAAAAATCGTGTTGGGTTGCCTAACACTTGGTCACATGACCAGGTTGGACCAATCAACTGATAGGATCTTGCTCATCTGCGTTCACTCAAGTGCGCAGTTGGTGGGTAAGTTTTTTGAACCAAGTCACCGCTGTGCCCTCTGAATGTACTGTGTCAACAAGTGCAGGGCCACGCGGAGCAATTAAATGCCGCATGCCTGCTATTCTCGCTTCATGTCCTTGTCAATTTGAGCCCTCTTAATGTTCCTTTAGGCCACATGTTACTTCATACTGTCCGGTGACACCCTTTAAACTGACCCAACAGTCACCAGACTAGTTACAGTGTATAATTGGTATTTTGTGCACTGTGTCATGTCAGTAGGTATTTTGTATCTTTTTCTTTTTTTGTGAACTGAATGGAGAAAAAAGCTCTGATTTTATGTTAAAAAGACCTGAGAGTCATCAAAAACTGGTTACAGTTTGTTCGCTGCCTAATGGATTTCGCGAAGATGTTTTTTAAAGTGATCTCTTCGTGTGCATCTATCGGTCAAGGTTGAAAAGTGTTCTCAGTGACCTGTAGGTCAAAAAGCTAGTGGGTGCTTTCTGGAGTTTTTCCTACAAATTTTTGTTTTTTAAAAGACTTTCTCCGAGTGGAAGCCTTCATGATACCATACAGGTTTGTTGTCTGAAATTTTGATTGGCGGAATGAAATTTTCTGCAAGATGAGGCGTAAAAAGAACAAAAGTTCACTCACATGACTGTGATGTACCTAATGCCTTAGCACGCCTAAGCTCAACTCTCCTGGCCTCTAATTGGCTGAAAAGGAGGTCTGAACAGACTTGGATGGGGTGAGGTCGCTCGGTGCTTGTAACTTTGACACCAACCTGGTCTTTATGAACATGATTTGCATTTTAGGTAGACTTTCATATTTGGACTCAGTTGTTCATCGCATGCAATGTGCGGAGAGGATGGCAGGGGGATGACAGAGTTGGGAATATTTTCTTGGTACTCATTGAGGAGTTTGTATGTTGGTATTCCTTGGTGATTGTAGGAGCGAGGGATGGGTAGAGAAAAAGTGGCCATCAGGAAACTTCTCACAAAACGACAAATGTATTTGCCCATATCGCAATCGGAATATATTTATTGGCGCATTGTGTTTATAACGTTACGGGTCATTACAATATTCGCTGTGGATTAATAGTTTGTTGTATATTCAAAGATGGATTACTGAGCGAGAAGAAGAGAAGAGGGACGAAAGTACAGCGGATGGTGGCACGCATACAGGAGTTTTGTTATCAGGTAAGACTTAAATGAGTATTGCATGTCAGTTGCATGTTTGATGTGTGTATTTTCTTTTTGCATGGTTTGATTTTTTCCAGACTTTTCTTCAGTGCCAGTGCACCATTGTCATACAGGATCATTGTAGTCAACTAAAGTTGCAAAAATTACAACATATCTCCCAACCTACAAGGTACCATACATTGGACTGTTTTGATGGCCTATTCTATCTTTACACAAATACGTAGATATTTTAAGGACATTTCAATTGATTTACAAGCAGGGGCTCAGTAACAATTCGAAGCTAAGCTTTCACAGTGGCTGTTTCTAAGATTAAAAAAAACTCATTGGTTGAATGAGGTTCAGGTGGCATGACTGTCATTTTTGCATAAAGATAAGTTTAGTGAAGGCGTGGATTTAGAATTGATTTAGATGTGTACTTAGATATCCCATCGGGAGTATGACAAATCTTGAATGATAGTGGCTTTATTAGATATCAAGCAATTTTGCTGCCAAAGATGTAATCAGTGCATCAATTATAATCAGAAATCAGTACAATCGAAATAGGATCGAGTTTAAAATCAGTGAGCTGAGCGATTTATAGTATGTCATTTCTGTATGAAATCATTGAGCAATTCAGTTGTCTTGGTTGTCCGTTGAGAAGAGTTTTGAGCCAGGAAAGATAAGGTGGTGAGGGGAGATGGACAGATAGGGACACCTGCCACATCATTTGTCATTTAATTTTGTGGGAGGACTTACCATATAATTACACATGTGATGAAGCACTCATACATGTATAGAGGGAAGATTGTCATGTCTCTATCTGACATCGTATAAATTAATTTTCTGTGATTGAAAATCGAATTATCATGTTATCAAAATATAAAAATTCCTCTGTTAATATTATAAAAATTACTCTGTTTATATACCTTTTGAAATAAAGAAAATAGGTGTAATTAAAAGGCAGCCAGCATTGATTAAAAGAAAAAGTTGGTAAAACGGAGAGTAGTGAAGATGAATATTAGAAAAAAATTTAACAATTATTTACCATTTTTTCTAAGTGTCATTTTTGCATGAGTCAACTTTCTTTTGACATATTTAAGATCTTTTTAACATTAAATACCATTTGAAAATATTGGATATGGTATAGACAGAATAATGTGTTGATGGAAGAATACACATATTACAGTGTTATTACAGAGAACACTTTGTCATAGAGTAGGTTGGTATCTGCTGAATATTTGAAGGAAAAAATCTAATATAAATTGCGTGAAACTTAAAATGCACCTCCTTTCCAAATATTTCCTTTTATGCTGTCAATAAATCAGTAAAGTACTTAGTAAATCCTATAAAATAAACATGTACATAAGGCATAAACAGACATCTTTGTTGTGGTCCATTTTCCCTAATTCTCTTAATAGCATCTCTTATAGCATTTAAGTTAAAATTACCAAGTTAAAATATATTCTGCAGGGCAAAAGAAAAGTTTAAAAATTATGTTTTTTCTTGTTGTGAAAATCATCTTTTGCTTTAAGATATTAACACATTTCATATAAACTTTATTAAAATTTATACATGGGCTAAAAAAACGGGCGAATGGCAATATTTTTTTTAAGAACAAGTGATTTATTCCTATATGTATTTATATTTCAAGCTTTGTTATCCAGATCATTAGATCGAATATACATTTTTCAATGAGATTGACTTGGATAATATTAGTTTCAATAATTTTTGCACTGCTTAGAATAACTTAAAATATCAAGTGGGTGAAACTATTTTTGATAGAGTGTTCTGCTTTATGATAAAATGATTGTTTCAAACAAACTTTTTTCCTTATTCTATTTCATCTAGAGTGTACCACGAATTATACTGTCATTTTTACAGAAGTTACATTCAATGAAAGATTCACTCTTTTATTTTCATAAGGTCTTGGTTTAACATAACACCTTTTGAAAGAAAGAAATTCTATAAAAAGAAGAAAAAAAATGTAATTTGTTAACTGTACTAAAGATGAAGATTTTAATTTTATTAACATATATAACAACCGTAAAGTTTTCTAGGCAAACATAAATTCTTATAATTTTTTCTATGTATCCTAATTTCATGTAGTTAAGATTTCTGACTAAAGCATTGTGTTCTTTTTTTCTCTCAAACCAAATTAGAATATCACATTTCTTCAACAGCAGACTTTTTCTTCTTCAGCCAATCATGTCGCTTTTTGAAACTGAGGCCGACGTGCAAATTTGAACTTCATTCTGGTGCAAAAAAAAAAAAAAAAAGGAAAATAGAGGATGCTGTACCTATTTTAGTTTCTTATGTGATATATGAGAAGAGGTGTTTGAAATGATTCGGCTAAAATATCTTGACACTTCAGAGATTCACTTTGATTCAGGAGGTGTATGTGAGGTCTTTGGTATCTTATTTCTTTCTGCTATTGTTTGATTTGATTTTCTTTTGAAGTATATTTCATAGTGCTTAAAATATAATTGGTAACTATTGTATAACTCCCCAAGAAAGTATCTTCGCATTTTCATTTTATTTTCTGATTTGCTTACCTAACAAATTTTTTGATGTACCTTTCGAAATTTTTACATTAAAAAAGGTCATAACACTTCATCTTAACTCTGAAGAAAATTAGGTGGAATAGAACAGAAATAAGTTCTTGTGGTACAGAATAAAAAAATGTCTATAGGAAACCAGTACTTCAGAATGCTCTAATCACAGAATTTTCATGAGACATTGCTGGTTTTTAGACATCTTAGTCAAGGAGTAGGACACCGTGTCTGGCAGCTGTGTGGTCACCTGGGGGGACAGACCGCAGGTGTGCCCAGTGGTCAGTATTCCAGCCCTGACCATGGATAGCAATGATGGAATGGATTGGTCATCATTATCCATGGGTCTGGAAGGCACGTCCTATCTGTGCGTGTGCTTTTTCATCAGCCAGAGCGGGGCCCCATGATGATCATGTTAGGAAGGGTATACAACGTAACAATAATTCATGATAAACAAATAAATTAATTTATAGGAAATCTCATACATTATATTGACAGATTTTCTAACTGTTTTAAATAGCAGAAATCTAACTAAGATGGTAAGGGATTGTTGTAATGACTAGAAATGTTTCCGATAGTCATATTCCATACTAGTATTCCTCCCCCCTCCCCCCACCATGCAGTTTCTTTTACACACCTAAGATATTAAATTATAAACTATATTTAAAAAAAGAATGATACTCTATTGCACCTTATCTTATTTCTCAAGAACTGAATTAAAAGAAAAAGTTGCAAAAACTTAAAAATTTATTACACATAGGCTTAAAAGATAAATTTAAAGGTACTGTGCTATGGTCCTGTAATAATATTGACCAGAAGAAGCAGCTTTGTGTCCAATCAGGACAGTTTGTATCACGCATAATTTTATGCAAGAATAAAAGTA